AATCGCACTGTCTCTGACACTCCCATCCCAATTATCCCAGTCACTGAATCAATCCACCTCATAGAGGGCCTTCCTCTCCTGCGCTGTCCCTCCACCCCTTTGAAAACCCACTAGTGGGCTCAACATGAGTTTTTTCTGACTCAAAAGCACACAATGACAACAATTTAAGGCATAAATTGACTATCAAGTCTAGACAGAAATATATAACCAGGAGAGGATAAACTAGATAAATAAAATCTCATAAAAATTGATCTTTACAGGCATAAAATAATTATCTAAAGGAGTAAAAAGAAAACCTACACTGGGTCTACACTGGGTAAAATTATCTGGCAATGGCATATCTGACAAGGAACTTACATCTAGAATGTTTTAAAAGTTCCAACCAGCAAGAAAAAGACAAACAACTTAATTACAAAATGTTCAGAAGATATGCTAAGACTCTTACACAAAGAAGAGATTGAGATTGTCAACAGAAACATGAAGCACTGCTCAGAATCCCTAGCTATTCACTCACTCATTCAGTCATTGCTGTTGAGTAAGAACAACTCCTAGCTGACCCTCCAGTGAGTTTTCAGAGGATGTAAATTGCACAGGAAGAGATTGCCTGTCATTTGCCTGTGGACCAATTTGTGGATTCAAACCAACTGCCTCTGAGTTATTAAAGCAACTCCTTATCCATTAGGTCATCAGAGCTCCTCCTAGCTATTGTGGTTAATGATTTGAGGTGCTATGAACAACAGAGCTGACCCCTGTTCTATCCTGTGCCATTCTTATCATCCCCGACACGTTTAAACCCATTGCTACAGTCACTGTATCAATCCACCTCATTGAGGGTCTTCCTCCCTTTCACTGTTTCTCTACCTTTCCAAGCATAATGTCCTTTTCCAAGGAATAGCCTCACCTGACACTATGTCCAAAGTATATAAGGTAACATTCCACCACCCTTGTCTCTAAGGAGCAAGCCCTCTGGTTGCACTTTCTCTAAGACATATCTTTTTGTTCTTTTGGCAGTCCGTGGAATATTCAATACTCTTCCTAATACCACAACTCAAAGACATCACTTTTTCTGTCATCAGTTGTTCTTCTGTCGTTGTCCAGCATTCAGAGGTATAGAAGGTGATTGGAAAGAACATGACTTGAATCAAGTGCACCTCGGTCTTTAAACTGACATCATTGCTCTTCAGGACTTTGGAGAGGTCCCTGACCTGAGTCTTTCTCAATGCCTTATGTTTTCTGGTCTTCTGACTAAGTATCAAGGGTGCTTGATTGTAGATCCAAGTAAGGTGAAATGGTTGACAGTTTCTATCTTTCTCCTTCTAACATGATGTTGTCTATCAGCACAGTGGTGAGGATTTTTGTTTTCTTGATGTTGAGTGTAATCCATATTGGAAAGACTACAGTTCTTGATCTTATGTAGCAAGTGTCTCAAGTCTTCCAAGACTAACTATTGCTGTTGCACCTAAATGGTTTTTAGAATAGGTTCAAAGAACATCCAATATCTTTGTGGGATTAACCGCCTTTTGTTGTTTTAAAAATAAAATTCAACAAGTTGTATTTTACTGTGAAAGGTATAGACTAGCATATTTAAGATGAAGTGTAAATCATTCTAAGTTTGGATTGTGTGAAAGACTCTGAGATTCCTTTCTTTGGGAGGAAGGAGAGGAACAGGATATATATATAGATGGATATAATTAATGATGAGACTCTCTCAAGTGTAGTTAAACTTAGAATATTACAGCCACTCTTCCCGTTACACCCTGGGAGTTTAGGCTTCCAAGGTTTTATATGTGCTAGACTCTTGACCTCAAATCCCACATTCTCATCTTGCTTTTCATATGGGCACACAAGCCTTATTGCTCCTCAAATAGGTTCAAGAATCCCTATCTGAACTAGTTATCTTCCGTAAGTGTGACATATTCCTGGAAAGCATAGTACAATG